TTCATTAAAGGTTATTCTTTTCAAGTGTCCGGTGGTCAAATCAAGCTCTCCTCAGGTCACATTATAATCTGATGATGCTATAATCTCTTATTATAAAGTCAGTATTTACAAAAGTAATGTTTTAAATTGGATATTTATCAAGCTTTTTCCAGCTAATAATGCCACAGATTTTAGCTTTAATTGAATTAATAATCTTTCTCACACACACACCCACATTCAGGCACATTAATAAAGTTATTTCAGGAAAAAGGAAGAAGAAAAGCAGCTTGTGTTTCATCCTGAGTGTTTCCTTCCACACAAACCTACAGGTACCAGAGCCATTAAGACAGAAGAGTTGTGACGCTGAGGGGTCAAAAAAGGCAGCAGGTCATGTGACTCATGTAGCTTGAACTCTTTGATTAAGATCTGTTGTTTTTGTAGGGAACAGTGGTGTTTATCAGCAGTTAGTGTTTTAATGACTTGTACACCCCTGTAAACTAATTCAGTGTTGCTAATGTAGATGGTTAGCTAGGTGCCTAATTATTAATGTGGCCCAATATCGGAGAGAGGCAGTCAGCAAGGTTGTTAACTTTAAAATGTAACAATTATAATTACTGCTCTTGATTCCAACTTTTTTCTTTAGAAGACAGCAGCCAAGTTAGTGTAACTCTATGGCACTGACTCCAATGATTGGAACTATTCAACGTTTCCATGATCCACCATTACAGTAAAAAAAAAACTGTCCTTATAGAGTCAATGGGGATGTCGCCACTCTCCTTAATCCACTAGCAGGTACTAGCTATACTACGATTGCCATGGTTACTGCTAGTAGTACTGGGTTACCAGGACCAAGCTAAATTGGCCCTTTTACAATAAAGAGTGCAAATGTGCACAATAACCATTAGAATTGATGATAAATATTTTAATCTAAACCTGTTCTGCACAGAGCCCATCTCACAGAAAGTGCAAATATTACAGTACAAAAACCTTTCATTAACAAAGTCAAGGTAAACTCCAGGATTCTGTCATGTTGCTGACAAATGATGACATTATTTAGTATCTCCAAATCTCTCATCTAAATCCAACAATTTGGTATAATCTCCTAATCTCTTATAATATCCACATTTACTTTAGACCGCCAGAATTTATTTTATTCTCAGTTGTAATTCACGATTTCCCTATAATGTGAAAATTCATTCTTCTTCTTCTTTCGGCTGTTCCCGTTAAGGTTCGCCACAGCGAATCATCTGTTTCCACCTAACTCTATCCTCAGCATCCTCTACTCTCACCCCAATTAACTTCATGTCCTCTTTTAGCACATCCATATATCTCCTCTTTGGCCTTCCTCTTGACCTCTTGCCTGGCAGCTCCATCTCCAACATCCTCCTACCAATATAACCACTACCCCTCCTCTGCACATGTCCAAACCATCTCAATCTGGCCTCTCTGACCTTGTCCCCAAA